TATTCATTTAGTATCCAGTATTCATTCAATATTCATTCAGTATTCATTCAGTATTCATTCAGTATTCATTCAGTATTCATTCAGTAGTCAGTATTCATTCAGTATTCAGTATTGTGTAAGATAAGGTGACGGATTTCATCTTATCCTACTCAAGAAAATATTCCGCTCACAAAATACCAGGAAACAGAACACGGAACATCAATCGATGAACTGCTGTCAGATACCGAGCAAATATTTACGGGTATGATTAATAAAGAATTGGGAACAGTAATTAACATGGCGCACTGGCAGTTGCATCTTTATTCATTGCGTCATACTACCTTATGGAGATCTGATATAATTTTAGAAAGTAGAAAATATCTAGACCAGTTCTTGGCAAAGAATTTTGTGTCAAATATATTGCACAGCTGTTACTGTATCTATACTATGCTGTACAAGGTTTACGGCTATACAATGACGTATTATTCTTGAGCTGCTGAAGAGTAACCATCCGCATCCCGAAAGTGATATTTATAAATTAGATTTCATATCAAACAGTTAGTGTTACGTGACCGACTACAGTAAAATAATTTAAAAACTTAAGCTTAAAGTTAAAGATAATAACAATTAGGTGCGAAGCAGAAATAAATTTTACGCAACATACAACTGAAAGCTAAATAGTAGTCAAATAGTGTAAGCAAAGTTCCAGGTGTTTTCCTGAAACGGTACACTAAATTTAGATCAAAGCACAGACATTATCTCACCTCATCAGCACACTGTACAAAGGTCGCCGTGTGCCAGATGTTAACATTGTCGATACTTTAAACAATAGAATTGGAAATTACCTCGGAAAACCCTTCAAAAAAGGTGTGTACTGTGCACAATACACTACTTCTCATCACTCCCGCTTGAGTCATTCGGATTTTGCCGCAACAAGCAAGAATTCATTGTCATACGTTGTATGACCCGCCGCGCACGGCTCCCCCTGTACCATAGTGAAACGACCGTGGGGGTCGCAACGTGATACAAGTCAATCCTTCGCATCTCGCTGATCTGCATACATTTGTGGTTGCGAGAAGATGCGCGGCGCGGCCCAGTAGTGCATAGCACTACAAATGTGAACTAGCTATTAATTTAGAGCTAAAAAATTGAACTGGCTACTTCTACTACTTAATAAAGGGTTTTTATAAAATTTACTAAGATTTCTTATTCAATTTCATATTGAATTTTTATATAGGTAAGGGCCAATGCTATATTATGTGCAGGGTTGCCGGGGGACCTTAAAAACCTTAAAAAACCTTAAAAACCTTAAAAACGGCAATTTTGGGCAAAAAACCTTAAAAAAGACGTGAAAAACGGGCAAATTTTCGGGTTTTTAAGGTTTTTTAAGGTTCCATACCTAAATTATACCTAGCTTGATGTAGATCTAAATGGATTTTCCGGATTAGTAAAATTTTCTGAATTATACCTAGCTTGATGTAGATATGATAAGATTTTCTGAAATTATACCTAGCTCGGTGTAGACCTGATAAGATTTTCTGAAATTATACCTAGCTCGGTGTAGATCTAATTGGGTTTTTCTGAAATTATACCTAGCTCGGTGTAGATCTAATTGGGTTTTTCTGAAATTATACCTAGCTTGTTGTAGATCTATTGGGTTTTTCTGAAATTATACCTAGCTTGTTGTAGATCTAATTGGGGTTTTCTGAAATTATACCTAGCTTGTTGTAGATCTAATTGGGTTTTTCTGAAATTATACCTAGCTTGTTGTAGATCTAATTGGGTTTTTCTGAAATTATACCTAGCTTGTTGTTGATCTATTGGGTTTTTCTGAAATTATACCTAGCTTGTTGTAGATCTAATTGGGGTTTTCTGAAATTATACCTAGTTTGTTGTAGATCTAATTGGGTTTTTCTGAAATTATACCTAGCTTGTTGTTGATCTATTGGGTTTTTCTGAAATTATACCTAGCTTGTTGTAGATCTAATTGGGTTTTTCTGAAATTATACCTAGCTTGTTGTAGATCTAATTGGGTTTTTCTGAAATTATACCTAGCTTGTTGTAGATCTATTGGGTTTTTCTGAAATTATACCTAGCTTTTTGTAGATCTAATTGGGGTTTTCTGAAATTATACCTAGCTTGTTGTAGATCTAATTGGGTTTTTCTGAAATTATACCTAGCTTGTTGTAGATCTAATTGGGTTTTTCTGAAATTATACCTAGCTTGTTGTAGATCTAATTGGGTTTTTCTGAAATTATACCTAGGTCGGTGTAGATCTAATTGGGGTTTTCTGAAATTATACCTTCCCCCTTTAGATATGTCATATGATTGCAATTTCTGTAGCGGAAACCTTAAAAAACCTTAAATTTAACTGTTTTGGACCTTAAAAATGGGTCAAAAGGGGCCTTAAAAGACGTGAAAAAACCTTAAAAATGACTCTCAAAAATGCCGGCAACCCTGATTATGTGTATATTGTTTGAATTTTCTTATTGAGAGATGTGATAGCGGAGCTATTAGAAACTGCTGGATGTAAAGACGTTAACACTGAACCTCTCCTTATTCCTGTCAACGGGACAGAACTTCCTGCAGGGACCAAAAAAGCAGATGGAGCTAGATTAGATGTAAGCACTAGGAGTATTTGGAACCCATTGGAAAGGGCATTTTTAGATGTAAGAGAATTTCATGCTGAAGCTTTTTTGAATGAAAGCTGGACGGTGCCAGGTATTTCCAATGATCAATTAAAACACATAAAATAATAGTGCATAATAATCCCTCTGTTCAGGGCACTGCACACTAAATGGTCCATGTTTAGTATGAACTCACCCCAACACCTCAATAGCCTAAAATGAAATCTAACCAAAATATTGCGAAAACTATGAAGTTTTGTGTGCCTGTCCTGCGATCGCTCTTCGTCGGAGCTCAGCTCAGCCTTGAACTGTTTCATTTTTTCCGCCTGAAACCGCACAAAGTGGAACGATTCAGAAAACAATAATGCCAAAGTGTCTTTCCTCGCATGTTTACACACTGCTAACGTCACACGTCAACTGGACCAGTGCACCCGACTTGTTCCATTGCTTTAGGTATCCAAGCAGAACATTTCCCGAGCAGCTCCTCCAACTCCTTGTCGTTAACAGTAGCCATGGCATACAAGCTACAAGCACACACAGTAATCTCGCCGTTAAACTAGGCGAGATAAGCAAGCTGATAGGAGACAACAAAATTACAAACTAATGCAATTAGTGTGTGGCGTGAACTGTCAAACGAATGCAATTAGTGTGTGGTGTGAACTCGAGTGTGTGGCGTGAACTGTGTGTGTGGCGATCCTTCCAATAAGGCTGTCTAGCTATGAGAGACAGAAGAAAAGCGCATACAACAAAAGGATCATTGAAGTGGAGCATGGGACATTTACACCAATAGTCCTATCAACAACAGGTGGGATGGGAAGAGGAGTTAATACTTTCTTCAAAAAGTTAGCTATCCAGAAAATCAGGTCAAAGATACAGTGAGGACATGACATTTATCAGGAAAAGAGAGAGATTTGACTTATTGAGAACAACAATTATTGCTCTCAGAGGAGAAAGATGAATAAAAAATGGTAGTGCAGTTAAAATATCAGATTTAGATATAAATTTACAGCCAGTGCATTGATTGTCATGTGGCTACTTTTACTGATAAGGTTTTTTATAAATTTTCCTCAGTTTATAAGGGGTTTTTACTCAGATTTTAACTTTTATATAGGGTCATTGTGATATTATCTATATATATTGTTTGAAAAATATTCTTGTTTATCATGTATCAGATGCTTGAGCATTGACTAAACAGGTGGTGGTGGGGTAACGTGATGTGGAAATGTATTACATTATTGCATGATGTGAACTGATCTCTGGATCTTGTGAGGTAGTTTTATCGTCACCTAGTGAAACCCTGGCTCTGCTTGCAATGATATGAACCTTGCTTGTGATGATATATTAACCCGGCTTGAGCTGGTCATAGTAGTTCAGGGACTGTGTCAAACATTAAACTAGGACCAGTGACTTATGAGGGGCCCTGGATCTCAACCACCTACCTGCCTAATTATGCCGAATCACCTCATCATTCCCGAAACATGTTTATTTGGCTCAGTTGTTTTCCTTCAATATTGGAGCTGATTGGATTTAAGAGCCTATGGAACTGTTACTGAGCACATATCTCTGTTTAAGTTAAGTGCATGGTATTCAAAATCTGAAACAGAATAGACTCCCACAATTTGAAGCCTTTCACCACAGGGTTTATGTGAGGTTTTCAAGGTGGTTATCCAAGCTCCAATGCCACCAGAATGGTGGTCTTATTTTGATAATAATATGTTAATTTCGGATCTAGTCCAACGATCTACACCTAATCCACAATCTAAGGTTCAAGCATTTATCATTATTATATAATTGTGGTCGATCATCTCTTAATATATCAAATTTTAGAAGCTTAGGTCTGTACAAGTTTTATTGCAGTTTTGGAATCCAGATAAAAATCCTGGGAAAATCATGAAAATTGTGAAAAATTGCTGGATTCCAGAAAATCACTTGCATACCTTATATACTATATAGGGTATATATATATGATACATAACATTTGATTATATTCTTTATCGATATTCAATTCTATAAAACAGAGAATGAAGTGCTATTAGTATCACAGGTTAAGCTAATAGTAACTGAGCAAGGTGAGAAGATTATAGATTTAAGGCAGGGATGGGTTGGCTTTAGAGTAGAAAAATAGATAAGAGGGTGTAGGGTATCTACTTCAAACAAGTGACGTGAATTACAAAATTCTTTTTTAGAACAATAATGTCCCTAGCCTATTTCCTGTTGCAATTTAAAACCATCTATATTTCCTTAACAAAAAATTGAATATCGATCTTAGAAGGTTAAATGGCACTTAGGCTCAAATTAAACAGTCCTTATAAATTACCTCGATAACAAATTTCTTATTCTAATATGAGATTCATTTATTATCATTTCAATAACATAATCTAAACTTTAAAAACATTGCAGGTAATGTCAGCCGAGTAACAAGACATCATGAGTAAGTTTATGAGCAAGCTCACAAAGAGATCTTCATCTTCTAAGAAATTCGAGGGTGCTGTTGAATGTACAGATTTCGAATGTGTGACATTCCAAGACAAACCCTATCAGATGGACAGTCGTCCCCTTGTTGACGTTGCTGCTCCAATACCACCCTTTACAGAACCTGCTTGCAGATTTGAAAGAAGTGAAGGACGACAGTCGTTCAACGAAGGAACTGAATCAAAATTTGGAGGTCGTCTTAATCAGAGCAGTATTGCTACGGTTAACAATTTGACTGCAAATGATAGAAGATTATCACAGTCACATGTTTTTGGTGCAGCAAACCAAGCAACAGCGAGCGCTAGCAATGAGCCACCTGTCGTAAACCAACAGCATCAAGATGCAATGGCGAACCTGCAGCGCAAACGACCAGGATCTGCGAGATATGCTCGTCCTGGTGCTGTTAACGGTGTAAAACACGGCTCTTCCTCATCTCTGTCATCAGCATCCTCTGCTTCATCCACTGGGTCATACTCAAATAACATCGGTAACGGATTCGGACACCCGGAACATGCAGAACTTATTCAGTCGATCAATGCGTCTTTGAACCAGCTCTCACTGGTGGAGGATATGCAGGATCTCATGCCTTCTACAAACGCTCCTCCTCTCAAACCGAAGAGACCGTCGACTGACCGAGTCAAAACAACAATGGCATTTTATGCCAACAAACCATCCTTCAGCTCCGACAATCGGCAACCTAGCGGACAGGTGAGTGCATATTTCTATACTGTCAGTCATCAGTACTGGTTTGTGACAATTCCGGTCTCTAATCGTCGTTCCGTGGGGTGTCATGTTTGCTGCGTTAAAATAGTTGAGTACGCTGTTTGCATGTCAAGTGACAATATGTCCCCTTGTAACGTTGCGTGGTGTGGTGATCGTCCTGTTACTGATATGATAGGTGTTGGCACGTGGTTTAGAGGTGTTGTCACGTGGTTTTAGAGGTGTTGTCACGTGGTTTTAGAGGTGTTGTCCAGTTGTCACCCGGGCTTTCTCCTCCCTTCCCATTCTTGATCTTCCGGATAAAATGACTTAGTGCAATTTACTGTTAACGAATAACCAGGTCTGGAGTGCAAGTGTGCAGGCTTAGTTACTTATTTATCATTCGCATCGGTGTAACATACATAGTGCATTAGTTTTTGTTACGGATTTCTAGTCGTCAATTCTTTACAACCTCACTAAATGTAGACATGAATGTTAGCGACATTGTACAATGCCATACTTGGATCTGACATAAAAACGGTGTTTTTATTTTATCATACGCCTTACTTAATAGATTACTTTATAAATTGCCGATAGTTATTTATATCTCGTAACCTGATAGACCGATCGGTATTCGCAATAGCTCTCTTGTATTTGTTTCACGATTTTTGAACCAAATATTGGGCATATTTGAGTTGGTTTACATGGGTTTATTCCTCGTTGCTATTAAACATTTTGACACTAAAACCCAATTAATGCCGACAGTCCAATTACGTGATAAATATACATTTTATGTCGTAGTCTGTTTTTTGCGGGTTGTAATTGACATAATTATTTGAATTAACTCATTAAACCTAATTACGTCCACAAATAGGTTACGAAACCTGGCATTTACCTTTGGCTGGGATACCTTGTCTATTTTTGAATTCTATTTTCGTCTCGTTTAGTTGGCTGGGATTCTAGTTTTAGTGACACGTGAGGTAGTAGCTCCGGGGTCACGTGGTCAAACAGAAGATGCCTCACCGTCACAGATACAACAAGTACAACACCATGCCTCTGAGGAGACTGAGGATACCTCGCTCGTTGGTCATGGTACGAATCTAACAACATTTTAGAATTATTTTAAAGATTATGGTATCGGGGATGTCAAGTTGGGTTTTCTCCAGAAATTAATTGTAACTGTGCCCGTTACCGTACGTTTTTTTTCCGTAATTGTATTAATATCAAATTTAGTTAGTTTGTTTGTCAGATGTGCTCATTAACGTGTCTATCAGCAAAGATATTTAATAAATTACTGCTAGTAACAATAGTTTCCTTACTTATTTAAGATATTTACCTCAAATAAATTACTGTAAATAATGGTCGTTTCCTTTAGAGTACGACATAGCTCGTTTGCCATTTGTTCTTTTGACGATTATCAATGAATATTCAATATCCTAGCTATCATAATAGTAAATGAACTGCCGTAACATTTATACTTATATTGCATGATATATCTGGATTCATAACATACTGGCGCAAAGCAACTCCAAACCACTAGGAAACTGAAAGAAATGAGAATTTATTATATCCTTGTCACGGCATTGGCTGGAGCAAATGTTCTAATGTTTTCACAGCTTATTTGCCAATACAATTTCTTAATTGTTCGGAGTGTATTTTGAACGGATGTCGGCTATATTTGATTTTAAAGAGTGCTCGTTTGGCCCCAGGTCGTGTATTTCTGTCCGTTTTAGACCGTCTTTTGCCGATGCTTCTGCTTGTAATGTTGAATTTTGTTATGTATGATGTTACGCTCTCATATTGTGTAACATGAGATTCTTACTCATCATTACTCAGTATAACTAAACACAAGTGCTCTGACCAATAACCATGTAGTTGTGAATTTCCCCAGAAATTACCCTCAAAATAGCGCGTTATCATTCCAGTAGGTACTTATAAAACTCACATGACATATTCAAGATCAAAACTTCTTCATCCCTCAATCTGTCCCACACTAACACCATGTTAAAATAACCTCATATGATTCACGTCTCTCAACAGCAGGCCGAAAATTAATTGCACTTTTAGACAGACAACACGGTAAAAAGTATATCAACATAAATATAATGTGTTGCAAATTGAAAGACCATATAAGTACAACGACATTTCTGCTAATGCCACATGAGTGTCTCCAATGGAGGCCCTTTAAAAGCTCTCCCTTATAAGTTTGCTGACCTTTTTATAACTTCCATCTCTCAGTAAGTGTTGTAAGATATAATACCTGTAATAACCTGTAGTAACTACCTCGTAGTTCTTACAAGGTTAGAACTTTTAACCGTCCAATCATATCACTGATAATATCATGAGTACCCATCACGTTCGTCTTCAGAAGGACATTGCCAAGTCTAGTTTTAACATTACCCGCGACTTTGTTTAACATTGCTTCTGGTACCAGCTGTTTATTTGAGCACCTACACTTCCCAGTAGACTACGTCTACTCCGTCATTTCACAGTTCACACTGGTAATTTAACCTGGTCTATTATTAATCTCCAGGTGACGCAGTACACTGTCCCCTCCTCGCATTATACCGAACACCTGTTATACTCAGTTGTAGTCAGCTTTAGAGCGTATCACGGTACTACTGCCTGCCTTGTTCTTGTAACGTAACTATAAGGCCCTGTCATCACTATGACTATTTAACATGCACCCCCTACACCGCTCCCCTTGATCCCTCACTTCATGTTCTACGTGTATATCCCTTCTGTAATATATCTCCCACTTTTAGTCCGACTTTACTTTCAACTGTCCTTGGGAACCTTAATATTTAATGTTTTGTTGATCTTTTCCGCTCAGATATCCAATCCTAAGATCTGTGTAGTACTTTCTATTTTGAGGGAACGCTTTGCTCGTTTGTGAGTTCGATGAAAACTATATCTAAAATGTCAATGAGGCGAAGGCGAGATAATCTGGTGAACAATATCGACTGGTCGCCTTGTAAGAAGTTGGGTTCCCCTCAAGTCAGTCGCTCCAACAAATTGGTTCACTCGAAGTCGGTACACTGGGTAAGTGTTACTTGTAACCACTGGTTACTTGTAATAGTAAAGTATACTTGGGTAGTGAGCCGAGTTAACATGGTCATCATTTCCTTTTTATGGAACCTGAGCTAATATTAGCTAATGTAGCGAGATTTTAAAGTTCCTTTGTTGACTTTGTTGTTGTCTAAATGTCTGTTCCGCTAGGATTGCCCTGCAATTTTATACCGGAAAACGGAAAGTTCTCGAAGTTAAAGAGTCACATTTTTACCCATTCCTGAAATCCTCCGTTTCCTTTGACCACGAATAACATTTATTTTTAACCTCCTCGATGTAAACCTCGAGTTGACCGAGCTCAATGTATCGCATATTACATAACACTCATTCGCCTGCCAATTACCAGCTTTACTTTTTCAAAAGCCCCAAGCAAAAACGTTATATCATCCCGATCACATCATGACATATTTGAAATATTTGCTAAGGGGTCGTTCACAAATTACGTAATCAGCTGAGGGGTGAGGGGGTTTTCCAAATGATTACGCTAGTGTAATTTTGACACAATAGCTATGTGTAAAACTGATTACGGAGGGGGGAGGCCGAGGGGGGGGGGGGGGGTTAAAAATTGGCCACAATGTGATTACACGTATAATATGTGAACCGCCCCTAAACGCATCCTGCACTGCCTTGACTGTGTGATGTAATATAAGGTGACTAAAAGGGATACCTTCTCCGGCAGGTACATGATATCATAATTAGTTTACTAATAATATTTCTCATTTCTCAAATTCTCATGTCCGATAACGATCATTTCGTTATCCTGCAGTGCGTGTAAGGTCGCAATTATTGTTGCTATCGTAATCTCACCTTCTCGTCCCCGGACACCACGTTTGTCACCCCGCTAAAAACCCATTGTTCCCCCGGTTGTGTCATCACTTGCACATCGTGTAGCGAGTATTGTGTGGAGACCCTTTCCGTGCGGTCTTACTTCGGTTACGTAACTTCTCAATCGTCAAGTTATTGAATCTCATTCGTTTGTCTAGTTGATTACCGCGACCGGTTGCAATCATTGTGGCGCTTATCAAGATCTCACTGGTAAAAACTTCATAACCTTTTCGTTTAAGTAGTAATTGGTTAATTAATTTCATAGGTTTTCCTTATTAAAGTGTGTCGATAAGGTCCTCACAAAACTCGAGCTGTTGTGTAACTTGAACTTTAATATTTACAGTCCAGGAATATCTTGTTAATTTACTGATAATTGACAACAAAAATGTGTTGGGCAACCAGCCTACACGTGTAGTGCTTGTCGACTGTGTTGTTTGTGTGTGTTTAAGTGTGTGTTAGATTAACTAGTAGTTGTTAAGTAAGATACTTAGTTAACCTACATACATGTCATAACTTAGATTTACTAGTAGTTGTTAAGCAAGATGCTTAGTTTAACCTAACGTATCCTTGTACAGTATATTGTTCATTGTGTTCATTTACTTATGCAATTAAGGATTTGCTTAACGAATCATTTATAAAAATATAAGATCCTATGAAAACCGTCAGCTTTATTTCCGAGTTAGTTCAAGGCTAAATTAAGAACAAGTATTTTGACATTCTAACACTGGTCTCCTCCTACAGTCTTCCCTTGAAGAAGAGAGCCCAGGGGTCGGCATGACGACAACAGTCAGTAACCACAGCAACAGTACCAACTCTCTCCACAACCACCACGGAGCGATTAACAACATCACTAACAATAATAACAACATCTCCCCACATGCCTCCTCTACCACCATCAACTCTACTCACAGCAACTGTTCTCAGCATGGACAGAGAGTGCACGTGTGCAAGCACTTCATCTCCGGGTAAGTACAGGGACAAGGGACCAGGGTACAGGGTACAGGGACTGGGGATAAGAGTATAGGGGCATGCAGCTTCACTTAATATTGCGCGTTCAGAGCAAGGTTCTGATTTTTATTCTAGATGTAATTGTTAAAATTTGGGTCCTTTATGTAATAAGCTCGGATTGGCTTTTAAGATCACGATAAGCTTTATAGATCACGATAAGATAATACATGAGAGAACATTTTAAATTTGACACGACTAAGGAATTTTCTGGACTCAGCTCTGGATTTAGATGAAAGATTCTTATTTATAGAACAATGATCAGAGGTACTAAAGATGCGTAATTGGACTAAGCACACCATGATCTTAACTTTTCAATCGAACCCGTACAAAATCGATCCTGAATACATTAACGATAATATGCATACCATTTGAAGCTGAACAATTTCTATATTTTTGACTAGTTGCAATCCTGTTATAATTGAGGACAGTAATTGGAGGACCAAATAGTTTGTTCTAAGCGGGATATAAAGTTTTCGGAAGTATGTTGCGGAGTGGTAGGGAGGGGTGTGAAGTGGTGTATTGACGTGGTAGCTGATCACGTGGTAGCTGATCACGTGGTACTGATTAAACTTGTTGGGTACTGATATGTGATACAGGTGGCACAGCTCCAACACTGATCCAGGGTGGTTTAGTGTAGCTTGGTGGGAACTAGTTAAGTCTCCAAGGTCTAAGTGTTCAGGGTCACTCCCCACTTATGGCACTTAGACCTTAACTAAACGGCATATGTTCGAGCACGTGCCGTTACATGTACTTGAGTATATACCGTTTAGTTAGGATCATGTGATTTAGGCGAGTGATTTATTCAGAACAAGAAACTGATTACATAGTCTACTTTGTCAAGTAGATAAATTAATCGTACCTCAGGAACAAAAAGGCCCTGACAGAAATACTGAAGATGTTGAATACCAGACATACGGTTAGAGATGATCTCAGTTTGAAGGGCTGGTCTGATTATCTGGTGTGCAGTTCTAGGTATGTTACTATAAAATACATAAAATACATAAAATATTTTCTTATATTGATATTCTATAATTCTATAAAATATATATATATTTATATTTATATTATATTTTCTGCTATCTTGTATTATATTATGCTGTAGTACTACTGTATTATTTGCTTTGTATTACATGTTGTCAGACGTAGTCAAAACCTTAGTCAAGTTAATAATATAATAATATTATATAATATTCTAGTAATATTGTAATTTTGTTTACGCTCATCGTCACCCCACGGCTAGCGCTCTCATTAATAGTCACCTAGATGTCTCCCTCGTTACTGTAAATCACCCAAACAATATTAACAAGGTATGTATATATAATATTAAGGTATTTTTGGACAAATATGGGCATGAATTACCATTTTACGAGCCTCTATGTTTGTTTAAAGTAGCCCCGTTTTTAAAGAAATGGCGGTGTAAGGTCTATTTCAGTGGTCTCTTGTTTCATCCCCTAATAATAATCAAGTTCCTTTCTGAGTATTGTAATGAATGTTGTCTTTGAAAAGTGGCAATCTAGATTCTTCAATGTAAAAACACAATTAACATTACTTCAATTTAATTACCATTCGGAATTTTCTCTAGATGCTTCCCTCTGTAACCTGCACCAGATCCAATGAGTCATGTCACTGTTCCAAATGTTTATACAGACCACAACCCGTGAGTGTAAGATACCACATAAGCTCCCTTGTAGGAACTACATGTGAAGTGAATCTTATAATGTGTCTACAGTGCTCTATGTGAACAGTTCACTTCCGGGTCTTTAACGATAATTTGTCGTTAGATCGGGCAGGCTTTGATGACGTCATCATGATATTATAACATTGCAAAACATTGTGGAGTTGTGGAATGTGGATATATCAACATAGACTATTGGTTACACTTTACACTCTACATTCTACACATATTATACTCAGTTTATTGTTCATTGTTCTGTTGTAGACGGTAATATAATATGAAACGATATGTTGGAGCCCTATAGCATTCTCTAATCCGTGATCTTCTGAACAATTCTTTTAACTCTTAGTCATAAATATGACCGATAAAATAATTCACTGATATTTTGGATAATTATTTGAAGTTATTAAAGGTATTTACTATTGCAACAGGTGAAAACTATTTACAATTATTGTTAGGAACGAGAGTAGTATATAAACCCCGCTAACAGGATTGCTTGCGCAGGATACTGGTTGACACGGAGAAGAATAGAGGGTGTTACAAAGTGAGGTGTGCTAACACTGACAACCTGGCCCTGCCTCAACGTGTCTACCTAGCCAAGGTAACTAGCATTCCACACATTTCATTCACTTGTAATATTATATATATCCACTCCTAGCTGGCACCTTCCGTTCTTTCAATCATTCTGAGCATGCACCAGCTCATTAAAGTTCATTCGTCCTTCCATTCATCCGAGTCAGCCCTTCATTCCAATTGCCACGCCTTTCAGAAATAGGTCTCCCTCTTCCGCTCATTTTACTCCCACGACCCACTACACCGTTTTATTTTGTAATCATATCACATAATACATCATGAACCATTTCGAATTGTTAGCTAAGCTAATGAAGTGAACAATCTTAAACTATTTTTGAAGCGATAAAGAATTTGTTTATTGTTAAAAATTGTATAAATATGTATAAATATGTATGAAATTGGTAAATTCGCCCTGTTAAAGACCTTATAGACGTTATATTGTGCAATGTCACCGCATCATCTGCCTGACGTTTTAACGGTCAAGATAAAGCAAGTGCAATGTTAGGTGGTTAAAAGTGTTACTGTGCGCCCGGACACTTCCTCAAAACCCGCATTTAATTTTAATGTTAACCCGCCAAATTAAAGTTTATGGAGTTTAATTTACTCTTTACATACGCACTCATAATTTAAATAGAATTGTTTCCGCATATAATGTCTATTAGAATAATATACATATTAATATGTCTAATATAATACATAATAATATGTCTAATATGTCTGCGTGAAAATTCAGTGTATAACTCGTACTACTTTCTCATGTTGAGACTGCATGCGATAAACACACTCTCACACATGCACTGAGAGGTATTGGTCAGTAAGTACAAGTCGTAAAATACTTGAGATAACTGTGGGGATATTTAGATTTTAGACCGCCTAACATTATACAGGTATTATACAGCTATGCGTACAGGTATGATAATTGATACAATTCCACACTGTGTTTGTGAAAAGTTCGAGAACATGTTGTTGTACACGGTGGGTATATTACTATCATCATAATATTATAAACATGCAGGATAACTCCGCTTAATGCTATGTAAATAGGCGATTAAAGTTCACCTAATCTTATGTAAACATGCTATTTAAGTTCACATATTATAAAAACATGCGAAAAGTAAAGTTCCTCTGTACACTATACTAGAACTAGGAGGTGTGAGATTAAACACGTTGTACAGCAGAGAGACAAGGTCAGGGGAGTTGTGAACGTGTAGCATCTCCCTATCCGACGTGTAGTATCACACTTTGTCCCGGAGCAGTAACTACACGTGGTGCAGTGTAGCTCTGCTCCCTCTCTCTCTGTCTGCTTGATATACTCTGATTTGCTTCCCCCTACTTAGAGTTGTTCCTCCTCTCCCCAGCTGCTCAGTCTAGACCAACTAGACCAACAATTGTACACAGAGTGTCTCGTCTCCCGACCTCTTGTCGCTGGAGGTAGGCCGACTGTCGCAGTGCTTGTCAATGTTCTGCCGCACTACTTCCAACCTCGCAAAACAAGTTCGTTCTACATCGTCAAGTTTTGCAACGTAGACTCTCAATTCCCATACCTACTCAACCTCGTTACTTGCGGTTCAAGTGCGGTTTTGCGGTTGGCTTGCTGACCATGACTGTTTGGATAGTTTTCACTTTTCTGCTAAAAACCTTCGTTGATTTCACACCAAATGTCTTAGAATAAACATTGGTAATATGTACGAGATCACAGACGTTAGTCTAGTACCCTCCATATTTTAGATTACCTTGTGATTACTACTTTCCTGTCTGATTAGCTTATTCAGTGAGAGGCGTTTAATGATCCAGTCACATAATGTTATGCAATTATAATAGTAACCATAGTAACCATCTCAACCCCGCCTCATTGCCATGATATTCGATCCCGTTAACATTCAATTAGGAGCGTTAATTGCATCACCTCCCCCAATCAACAACTAACCTACGTGAGAAGCGACTACCCTAGTGAGGTGTAATGCGGTCACAATTGAGAAGAACAGATGTGTAATTATCCCATATATGGTCATAGCTTTGCCCTCAAAACTTGGGATGATCTTTTCAGACTTGTTCGCAGTTGTTCCAACACTATGTTAGTTTTCTACTTCCACTTTCCCTCTGTTAGCGCTCTCTACCGCAGTGCTGTGAATGATTTTACCCTCTCTCTCTGTTCTCTACACACCTAGATGTCAGTGGGGATTAAGATGTTAGTTAGAGTGTACCTACGTGCTGCTCCTGTCACGTCAACTATTTAACCTATCAGAACGCTCTAACTTTAACCTCTCTCTATCAATCATCTCTCTCGCTCTTTGCCGTCCTATCATGTCTGTTCTTAAAATTAAAATTCCTGATTGTTGCTATTTTGTTGAGAGTATTATATATTATGCTGAGGTTTGACAATGAGCTTTAATTCGCGGGGATGTTACATTATCTTGCAGCAAGTATGTTGAATCGGTTTCCAGGTTCGAGTTAGAATGTCATTCTTTCTTTTCGCAAATACCTGATTGATGATTCATCGATAACGAATGGTTATCGTGCACACTTGTAACCAAGTACGTGTTATAATGTGGCCTCCTCTCAAACTGCCACTTTTCTTTGCTGGACTGTCACAGCTTCACAAGTGGCTGGTGAAGGGGCATCATTTTGATATTTTCATACAAAGTCTCACTTCTATAACTTCCACTAAAGTGTATCTTCCATGGGTATGTCGGAGCGTGCACTAGCTTTTTTAGAATTTATAAATTTATTTACAAGTGTGAGCTGATGACCGTGGAAACAAGCCATGTCTGAGCACACTGAATTCTTAGTTTAGAATCAGTTAAACAAGGAACTCTGTCAACAGTCATTAGAGAATTAGCTTTGGTGGAATAAAACTGTTATTACAGTGTAGTACAGCTGTGTTATCACACTGTTCAAGTGTTCTCTACTGTTCTTGTTCTCTGCAGTTGGTCTTTGTTAGATAGCCAGTGTTCAAGTCCTTTGTTTGAGGACCTTTTGCATAGAAAATATGGGGCTCTGACAAACATTTTACCTGTTTTGCTATCTTTAGTTGTATGCTCTTCTCCTGCAGTCAGCAGCAGTCAGCAGCATGGCAGTCACAAGTCTGTCTCCTGGATCATAATTCTCGGATTATCTCTTTTTACTACAATCCAAGATTTGATAAACGTGCTAAACACAACATGACTCGGTGTCATGCATAGAGGAGCTCTCACTTCTCCCTGAAGCGTTTAGCTTAGCTGTTTAGTGGGCTCTATCATCTCGTAATGATATAATTAACCAGTGTTTGACGTAACGACGCTGTTTTTCTTGACCGTCTTGTATTCTTTACGTCCTTTCTTTTAATCTTCCGTCCGCAAAACTTGTAGTTTACTGCTGTTTTGTTTTGAGCGATCGGTTATGGTCACAGTTGACTGGTTTCGTGTGTTTGTTGTGAGCTTATGGTTAAGTCTTGACGCAAGATGGTGATGCGCCGCTTTTGTTAATTGAATAAAAAGCTAGTGCTGATTTAAAAATTGTCCTTCTCGAAATCTTGGCGTATAGTTTCTTAGTTTCGAACGATCTGCTATCAGTATCACGGTTGTGCGGTTGTGCAAATTTTATTTGAACTATTAGTGAATTATTCCCATCATTCCTGTATGGTGGTGATACATGATAGATAAGGACTTATGTATTGATTCCTGATATACAAGTAGCCGGCCCGGGTATTTGCTCCTCTAGTAACATTGTACCTCTCTCTGTAGAGAGTCTGTAACTCCCACAGTTAGACAGTTAGCTCCTCCAGCCTGGAAGTCTCTAGTCTCTCAGCACAGTACACAGTGGGGCAGCAGTGCAGAGTACTGCTGTTCACTGCTTGTTGACACGCCTTATTTCTCGCTCCTCCGCTTCTAATATGTTATTATGTACTGTTCCGAGCGGGAGAAGAAAGGGGGGGGGGGGGGGGGGGGCTAGTCTTTACAGTCTTTGTTTTTCGGCATAATGTAAAAGCGTGAAGACGAATGAGGAGAAATATACACGTCGGACCCCCTGGCCCCCGGAGTGGTGAGCGGGGTGGTTGTTTGCTGGTACTCCGTGCAGCGTTGTTGCATGTTATTCTTCACTCCAGGAAAATATGTGTCGTAATTTGTATTATTCTTTTGTTGCGATGTTATAATACGTTTGTGTTGTTTGAATTGTTGATTGTGTGAGGTTACGATTGAGTGTTTTCTGTTGTTTTGGTTTGGAGGTTTGGAGGTTTACTGTCCATTACTTGGGAATTTATCGGTAAACATATATATGTTAAGCGAGTTAGAACCTCGACGTGTTAAGAAAAGCTTGTTTTAAGACATCGACAGACTATATAAAATAGTAAATACAGTTCCGAGAGACTTTGATAATTTCCTTGTTGACAGAGAATTTTGAATGAGTTTAGTTAGAAGTTCCATTAACAAGATCGTACTTCCTCAATTACCAGACTTCAGAAACGTGCTGGAAGTGAGAGAGATCTAAAGTAGTATTATCTCTTGAACCTGAGTAGGAAATGATAGGAGTGGGTTAATTGCAATAAGATCGAGTAAACGCGGCCACTCTTACTACCCTGCTGCTACTGCAAATTGCGGGTGTTCTCTGTGTCGTGATCAATGCCCTTCACTCTTGTCACTTGTCTCACAATTTGATTTGTTTCATCCTTGTTTCTAGGAGTTCAATATCATGCTATGGTTTACAGCACTTCATAAATTTCAATGAGCAATATCAGAAGTGGACCTGAAAGTATTAATATCTGTTGCGTCAGCTAAATATTGTTACATTACGTTGGTTTATCGGTTTTATAGATTTGCAATTTTGTGGTTTCATGGCCAACACCTGCTTATAAACGGATATTTTGTCATTTTCCCCCACTTTTTCGTGTGTTAAACTTGATACTTCGCCAAACAAGCAAATTAATCACCACTACTTCTATTTAATTGTTAACTGAAAGACAATTAAATTGAACAGTTGCAACTGATTAGTGTCAAAAATAGCTTGCATGGTGCTATTGAAGGATAATTTAAATTTATTTTTGAACTATTA